TCTCACTTTTCAGTCAATTTTATTTTGTAATTGGCTTCATTTTTGAGGGATCTCTTACTTCCCAATCAGAAACTGACTGGAAAGTCCCAGTACACTAGATGGCTATGCTAGTGTCTTTGAGAGCACTAGTAGAAGGTATATAGTGTGTTCTTCTAAGCTCTGCAGACCAGAAAACCTTAAAATGCTCCGGGAGTTTTTCCTGTCTCTCACTGAGAACTAGGATCCCCCAGAGTGAAAATCAGGCAAGATAACTTCAGAAAGGTAGGGTTACAAGACAAGTAAATCTTTCTTTCATTTTTCTACATGTAAATCCAGGCTGTCATAGTATCATGAGTTACTATACAGCCTTAGAATGGCATGAAAATTGTAAATAAATTAGGAGAAATCTAAGAATTACTTCAATAACTTTTCTGTATGTGATCTTTTGATTTGAAGATTTGTTATTGCTGTACTTCCCAGGAAATGGTTGCACTAGTATGCAAGTGTAAGGAATAAAAGATTAAAATAACACCCAAGGAACCAATGTACTCAACTTTAAAGGCAAGGTACCAGGCTCATTGTATTGGAGTTAGGCATATATTTATCCATCATAGCGTCGTTCATTCTAGCATGATTTACTTAATTAAATTGATGCAAATTTTATATAAGTAAGGTAGGAATGCAGTAATAGAAACAGAATTGTAATAACTGCCCTTTTGGTTTCTGAGACAAGGTGGATAAGGTAATATCTCTTATTGGATCCACTTCTGTTGGTGAAAGAGAAGCTTTCAAGCTACACAGAGCTCTTCAGGTCCTGGAGGTAATTGTGTTGTGAGCAAGACACGATAAGTCATTCTTCCGCTTTACTCTGCGCTGGTTAGGCCTCAACTGGAGTATTGTGTCCAGTTCTGGGCACCGCATTTCAAGAAAGATGTGGAGAAATTGGAGAGGGTCCAGAGAAGAGCAACAAGAATGATTAAAGGTCTTGAGAACATGACCTATGAAGGAAGGCTGAAAGAATTGGGTTTGTTTAGTTTGGAAAAGAGAAGACTGAGAAGGGGACATGATAGCAGTTTTCAGGTATCTAAAAGGGTGTCATAAGGAGGAGGGAGAAAACTTGTTCACCGTAGCCTCTAAGGATAGAACAAGAAGCAGTGGGCTTAAACTGCAGCAAGGGAGGTTTAGGTTGGACATTAGGAAAAAGTTACTAACTGTCAGGATGGTTAAACACTGGAATAAATTGCCTAGGGAGGTTGTGGAATCTCCATCTCTGGAGATATTTAAGAGTAGGTTAGATAAATGTCTATCAGGGACGGTCTAGACAGTATTTGGTCCTGCCATGAGGGCAGGGGACTGGACTCAATGACCTCTCGAGGTCCCTTCCAGTCCTAGAATCTATGAATCTATGAAAGACAATGTAATATAGTTTTATGTAAAGTGAAGATAATTCAGGTTCCGAAGAATTCTCTGTGTAGCTCGAAAGCTTGTCTCTTTCACCAACAGAAGTGGGCCCAATAAAATATATAGCCTCACCCACCTTGTCTCTCACGTGTCCTGGGACTGACACAGCTACAAGAACACTGCAAACAACTTTTGGTTTATGGCACATGAAGTTTTGGAAGAAAAAAAAAGCAACCCGTTAAATAAATGAGAACTTGTGGATAACATTATACATACAGAGGGGTGGCCAAACTGTGGCTCATGAGCTGCATGCAGCTCTTTTACAGTTAGTGTGGCTTGCGGAGCTCCCCCCTGCCCCATCCATTCTCCACCTATGAGACTCAGGGGTTGGGGGGGACGGGGACGCTCAGGGCTTCTTCCCTGTGGTGGGGTGATGGGGCTGGAGCTTCTTCCAGAGACTACTCATGCCTCCTGAGAGTGGGGGGTGTGTGTCACAATTTAAAGGTTCGCCCCCCCCCCCCCCCAGCAGCTTGACTCTTGCCCCCAAGCACACCCTCCCTTTTATCCTCAGCGGCCCTTCCCTGCAGCTCCCAGGTGTTAGCTCTGCCTGGAGAGGCAGCTGCAAACAGCTGGGAACTGCAGGGAGGGGCTCCTGCTTTAGCTCTGCAGGGAGAGGCAGCTGCAAAAGCAATGGCTCTCCCTGCAGCTCCCAGGTGTTTGCTGTTGCCTCTCCCTATGGCCAGAGTTCCCAGCTTATCAGTTCTAGCAGCTGCTGCACAGGGAGGAGGCCTGACGGCACCATGTGAGCGAGTGGGGCCAGCAAAGCCTGGCAAAAATCTGGGGTGGGGGGCACGTGACCTCACATGCTTCCACCATGCGTCGCCTCTGGCTTCTGCCCAGTGGGGAAGGGTATCTCGGGGCTTCAGCCCTGCAGGAGATGCTTGCCAGGGCGTGGGGCTTAAGCCCTAGGCCCCGGCAGGTGCGCCCTGGCTCTCAAACTTCTGAAGATTGTTGTATGCAGCTTGGAGGGTCAGTAAGTTGGCTACCCTTGTCAGATGTTGATTTCCTACTTCTGCTTCCCCCAAAATGAATCTTTGACATATCAGACACCTTTAAGGATGTTAGGTTCTCCCAGTTTAATGCTAGTAAATTGCAGCTGCCACTTTAGATGACAGGGAGAAGTGGCAATCCAGATAAGTGAAATCTCTCTCTCTGGTGGTTGCAGCCACCTTCTCCTTACTACATGCATACTGTACACACTTACTGGGTTGTCTTTTAACTTATGAAGACTATGAAAATGCATTGAGATCTACATGGCCCAAGACTTTCTCCCCCCCCCCCCGTGAATAAATTATGGATCATGAGTAAGATGGATGCTCTTTCTTAAATGGGTATACATTAACCGTTTTACAGTTAGCCTGTTCAGAGTTCCAGTATTTACTAATAAAAGGTGGGAAGGCCGAAAACTGAGGGCTGCTGCAACAATTGCTCAGAATCTTCACTTTACATCAAACTACATTACCGTGTCATTCAGTTATTTAGAGCTTAAAAATGTACATGTCCCCAGAGGAGTATATTATTGAGCATTTACAATATTGAATTCTATTAATTCTTTACTAAGCCGATTACGTGTTTTTTTGGTAAACTTTGTATTTTTTTTCAAAAGAAAATAATGAGATTAATGGAAATTCAGACTTAGTGATCTAAGATGGTCTGCTTTCTTTGATCCATTTAATTTTATTTTTAGAATTCTATTAATGATGGACTTGAAAGGATTTTTGTCTGGGACTCGATCTTGGGAGCCAAAGGCTCAATCCAGCTAACCAAAAGCATCTTCTGAGCTTCAGTAGATTTGTACAGTGTGATGACCAGACAAATCAGTATTTCCCACGCTTTTACTGGTGCTTCTGAGCTATATGTAATGAAGACGTATAAAGAAAAAGCTCTGTTCTAGCCAGTTTTACTCAATGATTTGTAGCGATCTTAAAAACGGAATCCATTGCACCTTGCTGAGCTGTTCAGTAATCTCAGCAAATCAAGCAATTCTGTATTGATCTAGCAATCAAGAAAGGGGAAAAGGTGGGTCTAAAGTAGCCAGTGTTTAATTTTGTATCATTTCCCTGAATTCCATTCATAGTTCTGTTAAACGTTTCAAAGGATTATTGCTGGCTTCCGCTTGCTGGCCTTTTCTCTTTGTTGTGTGAAGAATGATGCACAAAAGACTTGAGTTGAATGTTCTTCTATAAGAACACTTATTTCAGTAGTCCACTTTCATATGAAATATTTTTTCTTAAGTATTTTTCAGTTTTACTAGTATGACAAGTTTATGAAGAAAAGGTAGAGTTGAGAAATTAGGTTAAAAACAAGACGAGGAAGAATTGGAAGTAGCCTAAGTTTTAATACAACAAGAGGAAAAACTAGACATATTTTATACCAATAACATAATACCATTAGCATATCTTTGCCTGTTGAACTCAGATGTGGGTTAATTGGAAGGCATTATGCATAGAGGCTGAGGGCTTGGGTGGCTTAGTCAGTAAGATAAGAATGCTTTCACTTCTAGGAGCAGAGTATAAATCCATCCTAAAGCCTTAAGTGGACCAGGTTTGCTAATCTTGGTTCAGGCTCAGAAACCTAAGTGTAATCTGGCATTATCTGGAGTCTGTCATGAGAAACAGCATGGTGCCTGAAATGCCTCTCAGCCAAGGGAAGGGTAATCCCTGTCTCACCCGCAGGTCAGACTTGAAGTCATTGACCAGGGCAGTGGTGAGGAAACTTTCCGTGCAGCTGCATGCCTCATTTAATCTGTGACCGTTGAAGAGGTCAGTTTCTGAAGTGCCAGTTCCTTGGTCTTCACAAGCACTCAATACTCCATTTCCTTGCAAAATATGTATTTGAAGCCCAGAAATAGTTCTTGCTTCAGATAAGGTTTTGTAGCTTCTACCATTTTATCGCTAACCCAAAATAAGTCTCTAATTCATCCTGTAATGGTACAGCACTTCTCTCATAGTTTAGTACATCTCACAGAGATGCCATCATTGTAGTTCTTCTGTCTAACGTGTGTAGTGTTTCAGCACCCTTTCCCCAGTTGTGACTTGTGAGCAGAGAATACCATTTTCATAACGTTAAATGTTGACTTTTAAGAACTGGGCTTCTCTTGAGGAAAAATAAAGAGTGAATGTAGCTTAATTATTTTAGTTCGCATATGAGGTCAATGTGAAAATTCAGTATTGTATGTAACTTCAGATTAATACCATTTTGTCAACACTTGCATTTCCCAAATTACTATTTTAAACCACATCTGGATTGTGGACAAAATGACTTCATATACTAGCTATCAAAATTTTTAACAATCTCTTATTTTCTTAAGGAGCATGTGTAATAGAGCCCTTGAAATATGCTTCTCAATCAGACATATAACTCCTTAAAAATATGTAATTGAATTAGCTTTCCTAAATAAGTCTTGCATCCATGAAACTTTATAGATTTGAGCTACATTTGTAATTAATACATAATACATTATTCTTATGTGAGAGTCTTAGAATTGTTATTTTCCACAAGTGAAGCCTTTGTTTGTGTTTTACTTTTTCTTTTGTGTAATGAGTTACTTTATGTGACAGGTGGGAGATTCAAGAAAGAGATAGTAGTTGATGGACAAAGCTATCTGCTGCTGATTAGAGATGAAGGGGGCCCTCCAGAGGCACAGGTGAGCATTGCATTTAGAGCTTTATTAGGCTAGACTATAGATCATGAAAATGAATAACAACTTTAATGAAATTATATCTTATTTGGTATAAGAAAAAGTGCAAAGAATTAAGCCAGTAGGTTGAGAAAACTTGATGTTTTCATAGGAGGTTGTTACATGTCTTTAAGAATATAAATGTGATGGATTAAAACTTGCTCATGTAACTCAAAACAGAATGCACTGATTGCCCTCCTAGGAAGGCAGCAGAATATATTACTCCTGATGTGAACAAGCTATATCGCAGTCTGCTCAGGTCACCTAACCTGAAAGCAAAGCTGGCTCGTTGCCCCACCTTTTCCAACAGCCTGAGGAAAATGGAGATATCATTTAAATCTACCTTTTTGGGGGAGAATTTCCATACACTTGAACGTGAAAAGACATCTGTATATTTTAAAATTACATATAATTAATCAATAGTGATGGTCTCTGGGGCAATAGTAAACGTTCTCTGGTGAAAACTGGTTCTTTTGTACTTACAAAAGGGGTTAAGTTGTAAATTTCACTCTGATACAATAGAGGAACGTAGAACATGTGGACTTCTCCCATCAAATGCACAATTCAGGGCTACAAAGCTGCTTCACTGGCCAGGTAACTACACTGCATTACATTTTTATTAAACGTTCATATTAAAGGAAATGATTGAAGTATGCAATGAAGTCCTTTCATAATGTTATCATAGCAGATGTACTCACACTGAAATGTGTTAGAAGTGTCTGCTTTTGAATCTTTGTCCTTCTCCCTCATTCTGCCTCATCTCTACTGCTTCTGCCTTATTTCTTCCTTGTAGTGTTGTGAGGCTCTCTAGCTCTCCAGGCCTCAATAGGGCACCATTGTAATCTTATGCATTTCCTATTTGGTTATTGTACGTTTATTTAACTTCTTTTGTCCTGTAGAAGGCTGTTCTACTGCACACAGAATTTTGATAACTCTGAAGAGGAGACAGATCGGTCATTTTTCTCTGGTTCCAATACTCTCGGCTGATACAAGTTGAAACCATTAAAAGTTTTTGTCAGCATGTGCTCATATGGGCATTAGTACATATGGTGAAACTCTGGCTACAGTCAGTGTGTCTGGGGCTACAAGGACAGATCACCCTCTACCTCCCCTTACCTGCTTATTAGCAGGGTTGCTAAATAGAATCTACTGGCCTCACTGCCCTCAGCTGTTCAATGATGGAGCAGCTTCAAAGAATAAGCAGCAGGAGCTGCTCTGCTGCCAAACAGCCCAATGGAGTGTTGCAAGCAGCATCAGCAGCTTCTGTTTCAATGCCCCACTATTGTCCATTAGCCATGGGAGGATTAAAGCATCCTGGAAGAAGTTCAGACAAAGGAGAAGAGAAGAGGTTAGGCAGAGGAATGAAGGAGACTCAGAGGAGAAGCCCTTAAGGGAAGTTACAAACAAAAGACAGGCTTACTTAATTCAACTTGGATCTTGTGAGGTAAACATGTGTGTGTTGAGGTTAGGGTGACCAGATGTCCCGATTTTATAGGGACAGTCCCGATTTTTGGGTCTTTTTCTTATATAGGCTCCTATTACCCCCCACCCCATCCCGATTTTTCACATTTGCTGTCTGGTCACCCTAGTTGAGGTAAGGGAGAGAGCCAAACTACCTAACACTCAGTGTGAATAACTTGTCTGAGAAATGTGTTCACAACAGCCTATATGTATGTGTGTGTGTGTGTGTGTGTGTGTGTGTGTGTGTGTATATATATATATATAATGTCCTAAATTCTGCATCTATAACCTCTGTGTGTGTAGTTGTATCAAGTGAACATACTGCAAGAAAACAGTTTTTTGGTAGATTATTATTTAATAAGTTGATTATAATACACACTATATATACTATACATATAGTATGTTCACTTGATACAACTACACACACAGTGGTTATAGATGCAGAATTTAGGACATGGCACCCAAAGCAGTGTTTTCATTGTATCTAGTGCTGCTACAAAACTATTCTTTGGCAGATAAATACCAGATACTAGATTGAAATGATCAGAATTTGTGTCCAACAAAGCACTTCATAAAAGTCATAATACGTATCAGAATGTACATTTTTCTTCCTGTTTGCCAATCAGTATTTTGTAGAAACAAACTATATGTATGCATAAGTAATCTCTCCTCTTAAGTTATTTTAATTATAATTTGGTCATGTAACATTGTTACGGAAAAGATCTAAATTTTTGTGATTTTTTTTTTTTTTCATATATCTAATTCACAAAATAAATAGAACTACTATTTCTGGACAAATTACCGTATATACTCAATCATAAGCCGGTTGGTTTATAAGACAACCCCACTCGTCCCCCCAAGATGGATAAGTAAAAATGGAAATTTTTTATGACCCATTCATAAGCCGACCCTATAATTCAGGGGTCAGCAAACTTTGACTCCCGGGCCATCAGGATAAGCCGCTGGTGGGATGAGATGGTTTGTTTACCTCGAGCGTCCGCAGGTAAATCTAAGTAAACAAAGTGTCCCGGCGCGCCAGCTGCTAACCCTGATGAGCCAGGACAGCAACTGCTGGGGAAATTTTTTTGGGGGGGGGGGGGGGGGAGAAGCCGGGGGTCAGGGAAGTAACCCCTGTGACCACCCCCCACATGACCCTAGCCTGGGAGTCCCACACTCTCCCCATCCCATCCCTTTCCACCTTATCTGGGGAGGGCCAGGGAAGGATGTCTCTGGCCTGGCTGGAGGCAGAGCAGAAGTGGAGAGGCTCTGGCCCTGGCCCTGCCTCTTCTCTGCTGGCTGTGCTGACTCTCCTTGCTTCCTCTGTTGGGGGGAGGGGCTGTGTCTCACCTCTCCCTCTCTATACCCATTCATAAGCCGACCCCCTTCTCTGGTGCTTCCATTTTTTACTAAAAAAATCCGGCTTATGAACGAGTATATACGGTAATATTGATAATTTCTGTAATGGAAGTGAAACACCTGAAGGAAAATATTGTTTGTAACCTTCACTGCTCCTTTATAATTCACAATGATGACATGATAAAGTTTTGGGTTTTAAAGGGTTTTTCTATTTTGTTTTTCTTAGGAATATTCTTTTTACTGGAGGAATAAAAGGGATGTGACATCACAATAGGCAGAAACCTGTGCTGCAGCCTTCCCAGTCCTTGGTTCGTGGTTCTCAACCTGTGGCCCAATCAGCACAGAGCTGCAGCCCATGTGACATTCTCAGGGCCATAAGGATTAGTATTGGATGCAGCCTACATAACACATTGTGGGGTGCATATGGAGCCCAGAATGGTAAATAAGTTGGGAATCACTGCCTCAGTTAAAGTGAATCTTAGAAGTCCCTTGACATTCTCTTCTTTCTTAAGTGCCAGCTACTGCTCGTTTCAGCTTATTGTGATGTCATCATTCGAGTCCTCTAGCAGAAAAGGGAACTTGGAGTTTGGGAATTGGTGTTCCAGATCCGATCAGTTGTCTAATACAAGAAGCTTCAGATTAAGGTGAAAAATCCTGAAGCTGGCAATTATGGAGTAAATTGCCTATAGAGAACTTTCTTTTCTAACCCCTCAATTTGGAGCTTGGCTTATGCCCTGAAAAATGAAGGTTTATATTCTTGACTAAACAAAAGTAGGAAAATTCATGATAAAGGTGTAGTAAAGGACAGTCACTGCTTTTTGCTTTGCATTTTTTCTGTGCCAAATTAATACATTAACAGTTTTAAAAATCTCATTTTTAAGGATGAAATCAGAGTGAAATATATACTACTGGTCAGTTGGTGGTAGTCTGCTTTTCATCCTCATCCTTTTTAAAGCATTCCAATTGTGAATAAATTGCCATTTCCATTGCTTGCCAGCCATGATTTTAGTTCTTCCTGGCCTACCACAAAACTGTTAAAGTCTCCTATGATAAAACACCACACAATAGTTATGAGGGATTTGGATGGCTCATAATAGTTGCTCTGGGATGCAGGTTCTAGATTACTAGTGCGATTTTTGGCCTCATTTGAACAAGTGTTCACCTTAATTAAAGAAATAAAAATGGATGCCTTTGGTGCCATCCAAGACACTGAATGCCCATGAAATTGAACTGTCCTCTCTGCCCAGAGAGCTGTTCTCTGCCACAGTGGGATTTGAAGCACACCGCTTGAATTTGCCATTACCCGCACTGTTTTTCAAAGACTTCAGTTTCCAGTGCTGTTAACATTGCATCTTCGTAACATTAAATTACTTAAGATGTTGTGTAAATTATTTCTCTCTCTCTTCATGCACGCACACACACGCACACGTGCACGCACACGCGCACCAAAAAAAAGTGACCCAAGGGAACTATTTTAAATAGTCTCCTTTGGTGTATCTCATAACCATTAATAGATGGATACGTTTCCAGCATCTGAAGAAGTGAGGTTTTTACCCACGAAAGCTTATGCCCAAATAAATCTGTTAGTCTTTAAGGTGCCACCAGACTCCTTGTTGTTTTTGTAGATACAGACTAACACGGCTACCCCCTGATACTTTCCATCATTGTACACTGATTTCAAGAAATTTTAATACATTCTACAGAAACCATTAGTCTCATAGATTATTCTTTAAGAATGTCAGTGCTGCAAGCAAGAATTCTAGGCAGAATACAATTGATTCCATGGTATGAGATTAATTATACATTAAAATCCACCAGCTAGACTTCCTCCACAGTTTTTTGTACCTCTCTCATGCTTTTCATTAGGCTTCCAGTTCTGACAACAGTTCAGCTCACACACATTGACAGCGTTGAACATTTCCTGCCACATATTGTATACTAGCACAATACAGCATTGGCAATACATTGTAGGGGATTGGTTTATTAAGTATCTGTCTTGAGAATGGCAAAGATTTGTTTTTGCAGTTCTTACACCTTGATCCTAAGTGAAAAGACATCCTTGTGTGTTGAAGTGTTCAAATGGTACATAATCATTTAATTTGTGTAAATTCTTTTCATAGAAATAATGAAACACTCACCCCAAAAAATAACCTGTGGATTCCTATTTTCTTTCTGTGCGTTGAGCCTTGAGGGTTTTCAACCTTTTTTGCACAACCGTGAAAGTTAGGAACTTTTAAATGTAAACAGGGATAATCACGTAATCGTAGGAATAGCTACTTTTAAAAAATGGGAAGCATTACAAACTTAAAATAGCAAGAGTTAGCAATACTGAACTAACATTGGGCATAAACCCAGGAGAACAATAATGCATAACACACGGATGTAAACATAAAATATGCTAATTATGGAGAGCATAGAGACAGTGTAGTCCGGTGGATAGCGCATTGGACTGGAGATTAGGAAACTTGTGTACTATTCCCGCTCAGACACAGGGCTGCTTGATGACATTGGGTGAATCACCTCACCTCTGTGCCCCCATTTCCCCATCTGTAAAATGGTGATAGTGATATTGACCTGCTTTGTAAAGCACTTTGAGATCTACTGATGAAAAGTGCTAGATAAGAAGTAGGTCATTTTGTTATTTTTTTGCCTTATCTGCTCTTTGCATAGCATTTTTTGCTATGTATATGTACAGTGGAGGCCCTGGCCTTGATTGGTTCTGTATGTATGATAGTAATATGACTAATAATTATGGAAAGATAATGTGTCTTATTTAAGGTTGCAGTTGGTTAGCTTTGTATTATTGATGGAAATTTGTCTTGGAATTGACACATTTATAAACACATGCTATTTATTAGCTTAAGAATCCTCTGGCAATCTATAACCAAGATGAATTTGCTGCCCCGTTAGTTTCTTTTAATATTTCTAACAAGTACTTGTGATCTGAAATTTCCCCTACAGATATGGTTGTTTTAAGCCTTACCTGGGCACAGAAGTGCCTCTCCTTCAGTAGATTTACGACACCAGGGAAAACCAGTTCACTTTCTCACTACAAAACCTAAGGCATAATCATTTTACTTAAACTTCTATAATTATGGCATTTGCAAATTCAGATATCTTAAAATTTGAGTTTTAGAATATAAAAGAAATGCAAGCAATATTTGAGATTTTGCTCAGATCTGAAATTTAGTGGGTAAACTTGTAACCCCTTGAATGTAATGTTGTGCTTTTAATGTCAGTGCTGATGTTAGTTAAGAAATATCTCTCTCTCTCTCTCTCTCTCTCTCTCTCTGTATATATATAAAAATATTTATTTTGATTTCATTTATATATGAACGGAAAGTAACATGATAGGTTTTTGCACTAACCTTTCATTTCTAGATACCGGTTTTCAAATATTCCTATCATTCACAAGTGCAAAGGCAAACTCATTTCATTCCCAATTTTTCTATGTAACATGAACCGGTTACTACTTAGAATATACCCAGAATTAATAGCATACATTTTGTCTCCCAGATTCTGTCTGATTCAAGCCAATCTTATAATGCGTGTATTAATCCCTCACCTTCATATGCACCAAACTCCCTGTAAAATTAAAAAGCAAGTTCACAGTTAATAATGTTAATGGTTAGATTTCCCAAATGCAGCATTCTTTCTCCCCTCCCTTCAACACAGGATAATCCCATTAATTTTATTGACTACTGCTCACTGCTTTCCCACTGAATATCTCTCTCTCCTGCCCCCTCCCCCTTTTTTTCCCCCTCTGTAGTTTGCCATGTGGGTCGATGCTGTTATATTTGTCTTCAGCTTGGAAGACGAAATAAGCTTCCAGACAGTTTACCACTACTACAGTCGTATGGCTAACTATCGTAACACTAATGAAATCCCAATGGTACTAGTGGGAACCCAGGGTAAGTGCAGTCTTGATTATAACATCTCTAAGATGATACTGGTATTCTAGTTGCTGTCTTCATATTCAGTTATCTTTGGCTGATTACCTATCTGAAAGTGTCTTTAGGGTGACAATTTTGTTCTGGAACTTCTTTTTAAAGACAAACATACTTAACTTGATTGATTTCCTTTCATACCAACCTTTTTGGGGGCATAACTGATATTTCCAGGCACTTGGTTGATAAAATGCAGTAGATTCCAGATGTTAACAGAAAATGGCTGTTCTGAACTTCTGGGATAGTTTACAGTGTTCCTAACTCTGACCAGTCAGTTTTCATGATCTGAGTTGAGTACATGCATAAGTATTTGCAGGATCATGACCTAAATTAGGATGGGACTCAAATTGCTTAAAGATCCAGAATAGACCAGTCCTTTATTGCCCTTAAATCACAAAAAAAACCCAAGAGGAAATAAGACTTAGCAATCATTCCGCTATAAATATTTATAAAAAATGAAGGTTCCCATATACAGGCCAAACCTCAATCCTCGTTATTTTAGATTTGCTGCACAGTCACTTGCGTTTTGTGTCACTTAAAAAGAAACCCCACAATTCTACTTCACCCCATTTAGGAAAAAGCTATCCTGCAGCAACAGTGCTAGAACAGCAATAGCCTTAGGCTATCACAGGACAGGCAAGCCCTGAAGGTGGGTGCAATTTCAGATCCTCTCATGAAAGTTAGGTACTTATTCCCCCTCTCCCCTCTCCTCAGCGTTTTCAGCTGTGGTTTCAGACTCCCCTTCCCCTCTAGCCTGCAGCAATGTGAGAAGTTGGGGATGGTTTAATGCTGATCTAGGGCTTCATTGCTTCCTCATGTTGTCTTTTTGCCAGTTAAAGCAATGCCTGGGGACAGGGTGTGGCTTGACAGCCCAATGCCGGATTGCAAACTCTGAAACCAAAGCTGCTCATTGTGAAGCCTGGGAAGTAGGGGGAACATGGAGGGGAAAGAATAGTAACAAGGCAATAAGGCGGAAGCAGGTGACAGATAAAAGAGGGAAGTAGATGGGGAGGGGGAATCCTAGGGTGAACAGAAGAAGCTTCAGTCAAAAAGGGAAGTGGATTGCTTAAAGGGACACTGTCAACTTAAACATTTCACAATGTTTAACACCTAAGATTACTGTAAGAGAAAGGTTAGAGGGGAAAGATATTTGTTCAGGATTTCTTTGCTTTGTGTGCCATTTTCAGTGTTTTCCCTTACAGTGAGGTGGTCAGTGCTGGAAGTTTTGTATAGGTCTTTCCCAGAGCGCCACAGAGAAGGAGGGGAGAATTTTAATGATAGCAGGGGTGGGAGGTAGAGAGGCAGGAGCCAAGGATAATACAGGGCATCACTCTTAGCTCCATGTCAAGGTGACAGTGTCCTTTTTAATGTTATGGTGTCGATTATATCTGACTGGTTTCTGCTACCGATCCACTAATCATAGCTATTAGACTGGTAGCTGTGAAATGATCTCTGAAGTGAAATCTCCCTAAAATGCTAGTGTCTGCCCCGCTGCTGCTCCTGCGACCAAAGGTGAATCATCTCCCCATTGTGAATATGGAGGTGGAAAATAGAGGGGGATATTTTCTCCCCCATCTCTAGGTGAAATTGAGGTCCAGATTCTGACACCAAAATATCATTTTAAGTGATGCTGCTAATTTTAGAAGCATTTATTGTCCACGTGCCTTCAGCACCCTCTGCTGGTTTTACAAAGAAAAATCCTTAGACTTGCTTCCAAGCAGACATGTTTGTTTTTACCTTTTATGTCAGGTAATAGATAGCAGTATAAAAACCAATATGCTTCAGTCGGTACCTTACAGAACATGTAAGATTTAAAATGTTTGAAACATTAACCGAAGTAATATACTTCAGACAGGAATGCCAAGTGTATTCACAGTAATGGCAATTTATATTCAAGTTCAGATGAGATTTTATATCATGGAAACCTCATTGGTTTCTACTAAATAAATTGTAGCTGAATCTTAGGTACATTTTCTGATCACTTTCATGATGCTGCAGTTTTTGCATTGTTACTATAAGCTGCCATGGGAAACAGGAAAATGTTATCGTTGTGTGTGTTGGTCTGAATTGTAATGGGTTTTAGTGCTATACATTTCAAAGTATTTTACAATATTAACTAGTCCTTATAATGCCCTGACAAGTGGGTAAGTTAATGCTAAAAACCCTATTAAAGTAAATTGCGGTTTCAAACAATACATACATTATGATTAGGTCTCCTTGCTCTGTCAATTGTTCCATGAATAAACGCTTTAAAAAACCCTTTACATTATTCCTTTCAATTTTCTTCATTCACTAAATCACCTCTTCGAATCTTCTCATTACCTGTGTGGGATAACTACATCTTCCCACTGTGAAATGAATGAGGATCATCATGAAGGTGGTAGCTTAGTATACAGAATTCACAAATGTATATATAAAAATATAGGTTTTATATATATGTATTCCTAAATAGCAGCTGATTATATCCAAAATGTGCTGGATTCTTTTTTCATATGAGATATAAAGGTAGTATAGACCTTCATTTAGCAAAACGCTTAAATATGTACTTAACTTTTAAGAATGTGAATAGTCAATGAAATTAATGGGACTTAAGCATGTGCGCTTTCCTGAATTGGGGCCATATAGCTAATGAGGAAGAGCTGTGTAATTTCACACAGTATCAGTTTGTAAGTGGTACAGGTGAGAACTGCAATGTAAAACACTCTGCTGTAGTGGAGTTTTTATCAGGACTAAACTAACCACTTTCCTAGTCAGTTGGCATTTCTCAGAGTTCTGAGAGCTGAACAAGGTGACAATGTGAGTACAATCATATCGCTTCAAAATATTGGGAAATCCTGACACATAGGTGATGGTTTATTATGAGGATCATACTATAGCAGCAGTTTGGTTTCTGATCCTGGAAGCTGAAGGATGAACATCAGTAATAGCTTGTATAATATGATTGCTATGAACAGTCAAGAGTTAATCCTCTCAATGACTCTCTAATTATGTTAATTGTTTATATTCAAGTGTGTAGATAAAATCTATTGCTTGATTGGTGCTGTGGGAGTGTCAATGGATATCTACAATCAGCTGCTATTTAGGAATACCACTATCCTGTTTTAAGTCAGTGTCATGTGTTGGGTCCTAAGGTGTGAAATTAATTTCTCCATGACATCCGTTTCTTTACTCCAAAGATTTTAGTGTGATTACTCTTGAATTCTTAGATGTTTCCTCGGATACCATCAACTACTTCAGTTTACATTTCCAGAGGGAAATGTTATCAGTTATGTATGTACTATGTTACAATAGGACATTGATTGCAACCCACTATATTGAAGATAGCATAACAGTTGCTGTTACATTCCCCTGTTTTCAGTTGCTCATTACTAACTGACATTTTGATCTTTGTGGATGAAATTTTCCAGAAATGATCTCTGCCCATAGGTGAGTGGTTTTTGAAAGTTAGAGCAAAAATGGTTCAGTCTTTTTGAACACAAAGAGAAGGAAACCGGTAATCTTCTTCCTATAATAAAATAATTCTTGCAACCTATTCAGATCAGCCCTACAGCTAAAATGCCTGATAATTTAGTATTGAGATTTGCATGGAGAATAGTCCTCACTGAGGAGTATTGCATCAGAAAATGGGTTTGATTTCTCTGGCCTTTAAAATGGCATTTTGAGCATGTACAGAACGTGTGTTTGCTAAACTCATTAACGGTATAATCCAAATCCATTGACTTGAATGGGCTTTGAATCAGGCCCTAAGTGTAAATCTAAGGAAAGATGGGCAATGCATGTATGCATAGCCACTTTAATTTTGCAGTAAACTGGGCTATTTACCTATGCCCAGACCTGTGCAAAGGCTTCTGAGGACTATTTCAAGTTGCAGTGGTTGTAAGAAGGGCTGCTGTATATTGGATGTGTAGTGGTCAAGAAAAGGGAACTGGCCGACTTGTGAAGTGTGCAAGTGAGGTCTCCTAACTGCCGCCTATACCTAGGCAGGATGGCTGGAGATATATACTCAGGTAAGCGAAATGTAAACTAAACTTAATGCATAGTTTGTGGGATGTGTAGGGACTGAACCAAGGTTTTGCAGAATCTGTAAGGAGGGAAGAACTCCTGTGACCCTTGTAATGTCTGCAAGGACTGTGGTGAGAGAGTTGAATTATGGAATTTACACTATACATTTTGGAACCCGGTAGAGTTCTGTTGCCCTTGGTCCTTAGCCAAGTCTTAACTTTTATTTTTTCCATATTTTTATTTCTTAAAAATTAACAGACAACACTATCCTACAATACCACATGAAGAGGCCATTAATATTGGTGGTTAAACACTCAAATGAAGAAGTTTGCTTATGTGTTATGGTAGTATCATCACTTCCGCGTCTCTACATCCTACTACTCTGTATATCAGACATCCATGAAAGTCATTTTTACATAATACTTAGCATATTAGTCAATGTGCTGGTGTTAATAAGGGATCTAAAAGTAATTTGCTTCCTTAAAGGATTACAGCAGTATTGGTTGTATTTTGTTAATATATCTTACTCTAAGTATATTATTACTATTTAATACAGCTAAATATATTCCACCTGGTAGCCTTATATGCATTTTAAGGTAACTTAGGGGGAAAAGTTACAATTTATTTTCCAGTTAGAATTGTATCAGTGACTTGAAGATCAGTAGTATAGAACTATGAACTTTGAAAACAAATTTTTCACTAATTACAGAGTTAAACGGTGTTTTAAAGTATAGCCAGTTCTCTGGTGAAGTAATACTTAACTTTATTAAGACAGCTTGTTAGGTCACAATTAAAAGTACAATATAGTAGAAATCATTGAAAAAAAGAAATACTGATAATAGGACTCTGTTTTTCCTGTGTTTCCTGAGAAGAGTCCAAGATGCACCTCTGAACAATACTTTTATTGTGGAATATTACTAGAGGAAACATTGTCTCTTTAAATGTATTGTATATGGGTGCAGAGGAAAATTTATGATATTTACATGTCTTAGAAGGTAGAGAATTTATATAAAAAGCAGTTTGTGTTGGATGTGTATTATATGCAAAAAGGGAAAGTTACCGTTATGCAATCTTAAATTGACAGTACCTGGTTTTTTTGCTGATCTGTGCAACCTTTAGTCTCTTTATGAAGTTTTTTGTATGAATTTGTTTTTAGGATTACATTTAAGCACCTTGTAGGCTCTGTAGGAATAGGATGTTTTGTAAATATAAACTGCTGCTGTTGAATACAGGATTTGTTATCACGATAAAACTGCTAATGCTGTTGCTTTTTTTCCCTCTCTGCATGCTGTTACTATAGATGCTATAAGCTCTAATAATCCACGTGTTATTGATGATGCCAGAGCAAGAAAGCTGTCGAACGATTTGAAGAGATGCACTTACTATGAAACCTGTGCTACTTACGGGCTGAATGTGGAAAGGGTCTTCCAAGATGGTAAAGATGGATTTTTTTTTTTTCTACTCAGTATCACACAGCATACTGTAACCAAAGTGTTCTCCAGATTAATGACCACTGCCTGCTATATAGTTCAGAAGATTTAATCCTGGTTGAGATTTTTTATTTCGGTAACACCTAGAGTCCCATTGGGAATTGCTCAGCACTGTGCATACACATACAGCCTTCTGTACTCCAGTTATCTCCAGCTGCTGGGTTCAGTCCCTTCCTGGTTGGAAAGAAACAATACATTAGAACCATAATATCATGAGTACATTTGTTATTTATGCAGATTATATTTATATCTACTTAAGAAATGTCTTCATACAGTTATACTATATAACAGACACTGAAGTTGTGTGACTGTGGGTAATCTTTTATGTAATTACCTCCACTTAATAGACATGTATAATAAAGATATAACTAAACACATTTTTAAAAATTAAGAGAGTAGAATATGAAATCTGATTATATAAATAAAATGCATAAGATCAGTATTAAAATTCTCTCATGGCATCCACATAACTGTTATCAACTGGCAATTTCACCTAGCCGTCAGAGTAGAATTGAGTCTTAGGGAGGGATTTAAAAGACAGGGAGTAGTGACTTTATGGACTGGTGTGAGAAGATGTTCCAACTAATTAATACAGCATGGAAGAAAAACACTAAATATGTAACTTGACTCACAATTGTTTACTTGGACAGTTACTCCTGGAAAAAGCTCCATTGTGTACCTGAGGGGAAAACACAATAGCTAAATAAACACAATAAAACAAAAAATGGAAAAGAAATATGCAGTTCCTAAATGTCTTCTGTGTATGAAACAAGTCTCTGTGCTCCCTCTAGTGGTAGTTCCACATACTGTGTATATTTGAGGCATCTTCTGTCTTCCACTGTACTAATCAATACGTTACTTTATCCCCAACTGTAAACTGGCCACTACAGAAATTATTCTAATTTTTAAAGAAAAAAAATTAATTATTTAAAACTATTTCCTGAAGTTCCTGATCTCTGCCATGTTCTAGTCTCTGGGTTTTCTCTTGTAAGAACCATAGTTTACATGAGATGCCATCTCATCAATAAGTGTCTATGGTTTTGTCTACACTACATACCACTTTTGCTGGCATGTAGTATATGTGTAGCTACATGCTGCAGTGAAAAGCAGGCCGAGTCCACGCTACGGTGTGTCGCTATATGTGTCAGGGAAAGGCTCTGGCAGCTGCCTCTCCCCTGCCAGAGCCTTTCTCAGTGGAGGGGAAAGGCTCTGGCAGCTGCCCCTCCCCTGCCAGAGCCTTTCCCTATTGCAGGAATGTTTCCCTGTGGTGAGTCAGGGCTCCAGCCATGGGGAGCTGCCCGAGCCTTTCTCCATTGCCTCCCCAGTGCCAGAGCCTTCCTCTGTGGTGGAGAAAGGCTCCATCAGTGGGGAGGTAGCAGCACACTACACTGCTAAAAATAACCGTGTAGATAGGAAGGCACTGCTTGAGCTAGTACATACATACCCACACCTTTCATGTGTCTTCACTTGCCTGAGCCATTCCTCACTGGCTACACTGCTGTTTATACCTCTGCTAGGGTGGCTACGCAGGTGTGGACACTACATACCACCAAAAATGGCGTATGGTGTAAACTAGCATAAGTGGTGTATGTGCAAAAGAAGTGAGGAAAAATAGACCAAACAGACTTTCTGTAAGTGGAAGTACTGAAGTGAATTGCTCTTGGTTTAAATTCCAAATGGAGAGGTTATTTTTATTCTTAATAGTTCAGCTAATACAATTTGTTTATCCACGTTGTTCTTAGAGTATTGAGGAGAAATCCATTGTGTTCTCTTCATATTCCCTGTATCAAAGATTAATTTCTAAGATTTTGTGTGCAAAAAATAAAAGTTTAATGTCCTTGTTTGCGATTAGCTGCAGTTTATTTTTCATTACATATACCCTAAAAACTTTTGGGATTCCATCCCCTCTCATTTCTCAGGGAACTCTTGGGAGATGGAACTTGTAGAATTATACAGTGATACAACTCCTCCACTTGTGCATATTTGTACTGGATGAGCTGGTTATTACATACTGTGGCCTTTTCCTATAATGTTAGTGATGCTATGTAGTGAATACAAGGAGTAAATATACTGTGGGAAAACATTGTTAGAATATGTGAAGTGGTGGTGAATTTTAAATGTTCAGTATGCTGAGTGGCATAGAATTGCCTATACATAAAGTGAAGTGTTTTTCAGACTAGGACAGCAGCCTGTATTCTCATTGAAGTCAGTGAGAGTTGTGCCATTGACTTCAATAAAAGAAGAGGTAACTTTTGGCCAAAAAGAAAAATTTATGGCAGGTAATACAAATCCTGATCAATGGCCAATTGATTAACTGATTTCAGACATCTTTGGGAAAATACTTACCAAGATTAAATATGATTCACCTGTGATTTACAGCTATGGGAAACACCAGATTCAATTTGGTCTTTATGAAATGATGCAGTGATTCTGTAGAAACAAAATTACAGTTCCTTGAAAGTGAAGAGGGCTTATGATACCATATGTCAGTGTTTTGCCTTATGTAACAATGATTACGGGGGGGAGGGAGAGGGGAGAGGAATAGTCTTCTTAAGATGTAGGGTTTTATCCTTATAGGAATATGCCTGAGTAATTCCCATTAGTGCTCTGAGAAAATCAATGTGTGTAATGAGGAAAATCTTATGCAATTATTTTGTCTTTGTCACCGTCTTACTTTTTGGCTGAAGAACAAAAAACGTTTTGTGAAGCCATATTTAATAGGTAAGGAAAATCAACCATTTTTGAAAGGTCCTGTATTTAAAATATATTGTGTTCTATTTTAATTTCTGTACTGGATGGCAGGTGGTGTTAGGGGCTATTTAATTTTGTATGTATACTTCTGACCTAATTTACTGAGGGTGCCCACAATGTGTCACTACTAATGCACTAAAACGTCTAAAAGGTTGCCCATTGTAAGAGATTTTCGGTGGAGAGATGGCAGACATGGAAAATTTTAGCTTCTTGTAGCTGTTTTGAACATGCTGTGTTAATGTTTTATTAGCTTTTATATAGCACTTTGTATGGTCGAAACTCTGTACAGACTTTCAGTTGTTATCCCTTCTCTCCTGTGCTTCCCACTGGTGATATTGAAATAGGTGGCGGTAAGAATGATTATCCTCATTTTATGTATGAAGAGTCTGAGGCCCCAATCCTGCAAGTTACCTAAACACCCACCTAACTTTAAGCATTCCATTGACTTGAGTACAACTGTTCACATGCTTAAAATTAAGCATGTGCTGAACTACTTTACCATGTCAGATCTTGAAGTGACTTGTCCAAGGCAGCATGGCAAATAAGTGACATAACCAGGATTAGAACCAAGGAGCTCCTGGACTCCCACCCTCCATCATTCCTCACCCAGGCCACTTTCAATATTAGGAGGAGGAGGAGTGGGGGAGGGGTGGGAGTGGGGGAGGGGTAGTGGTGGTAGTAGTAATCGGGGAGGGGTGGTGCTGGTGGTAGTTACTGTTTGTTCAAGCACTTTACAAAACAGTAATACATTATCCCACGCCTGAAGTCTAATTTTAGGGACCTCCTATGATGAGCATGTATAGGAAAAAAAACAAAACAAGGAGAGAATGGGATGAGTGAAGGTGTATTGTAGCAGTAAGATTAAGCTCTGATCCAGTATAGGCATGCAAACATTTTCATGGCCCAGTTACAATTTTAAAATTCTATTTAATTAAAAGTTTTTGACTTGATGCTTGAAGCCTTTGTAGAATGTCAATTTTTAAGAAAGATTTGATGGTTGTACCTAACATAACTGTGTACCTGATGAGTGATAATCTAATGAGTGTGGTAATTCCTAATAAAATTTGGTGGTAGAACAATTTCTCTGTATCTATGGAACAAACGGGCTTTAAAACATGACCTTTTTTGCAAAATCTTCACCAATTAAGCAGTCTTCAGAAAGTACTGTACACAGTATGATTCAGGCATGCAGCAAGTTACCAGAATGTATGTAAGGAAACTGGTTAATAGAGCCATTAATAAGACAAGTTTATGGGTACTAAAATTAATTGTAAAACACACCAGTTCAATAAATATCTCCTCTTGGATTTTACATATACAGTAACTCCTCACTTAAAGTTGTAGTTATGTTCCTGAAAAATGCGACTTTAAGCGAAACGATGTTAAGCGAATCCAATTTCCCCATAAGAATTAATGTAAATGAGGGGGCTAGGTTCCAGGGAAATTTTTTTCACCAGACAAAAGACTAATTATATATATATATATATATATATATATATATATATACACACACACAGTATAAGTTTTTTAAACAAACAATTTAATATTGGTACACAGTGATGATTGTGAAGCTTGGTTGAGGTTGAGGAGTCAGAGGGTGGGATATTTCCCTTACTTCTAAATGATGAACTAGCAATTGGCTGAGCCCTCCAGGGTTAACTCTCTCTCTACACAAGGCAGCAGGAATGGAGGGAGATATGCGCATTTCCCTTAAGTACACTGCCTTGTTAATTAGATCAGCTTGCTGAGAGGCAGCTGCTGCAAGCTTCCTGAGTCCTGGTCTGTCCCCCCTGCTCTATGGAAGATGGGTAAGCAGGGTGCAGGGGGGAGGGGGACACCCTGACATTAGCCCCCCTCTTCCTTCCCTCCCCCCCCCCCCCCGTGCAGCAAGTAGGAGTCTCGGGGAGCAGCTCCAAGGCAGAGGGCAGGAGCAGCACATGGCAGTGGGGGGAGGGACACAGCTGAATTGCAGGCAGCTGCTGCTCAGGGAATTTAGGGGAGCATGGAGCTGATAGTGGGGCTGCAGGTCCACCCTGGTTCCAAGCCCCCACCAGCTAGCTGCAATGGGCTGCTCTTCCTGCAAGCAGTAGACAAAGCAGGCGACTGCCAAACGACGACGTTAGAAGGGGGTGCCTCTCAGAGTTGGTAAGACAACTCCCACCTGTTCATGCTCTCTGTATGTGTGTATATATAT